TTTTCTCAAGGCTTGATGATCAATGCAAAAGCTTGGAAGAAGAATCTGAAGATTTGATCAAGAAAATTTGTTATTATGGATTTTTGGATGTCAACAAGTTTAAAATTGATGGGTTCACCAACGAAACTCAGATCAAAAGTATTCTTAGAAGACCCATTCCATCTCCGTTCCATCCTGCATATCGTTACGTATGTGATTTGAATGAAATCGATATTTTATTGGTACAAATTCGTAATGTTATGTATTGCATGTCTCATGGAATACCAGGTAATCGCGCAATAATATTAAATTAAAACTTTCTTGATCATTTTGAAATCTTTAATTCGGAGAAGAAGAAGAAGTTACACAATTATTTGACGTTACAAGGGTTACAAGGATAAGTTCAACTTCTCTCATATACTCTACCAGATGATTATACAGAGTAACAGTTGTGTCAGATTCGATCAATGTTTGAAGTTTTGATAAATGTTCACTTATTAAAGAACCATCATAGCAACAGTCATTTCCACCAAACTCACCATCGCTCGATGAAACCACATGAACAGCAGACCTGAAAACGTTCAACGCGTGTTGATAATCATTTATAATCCATTGAATTCTTCTTTTTAACATGGGTAATTCGACATTTCTTTGTATTCTCCATAGAACAAATGTAAGATTTCTCCCCAATTTCAAATAAAATTTTTTGATATTCATAACTTGTTTCCACTTTAAAATAATTGATGATTGAACTTGATTAAACTATGAATTAATTGATGAAATAAATCAATTTAGTTTTCTTTTCTTTTTCAATTTGATTTGTTTTCACTAAAAGATCGGAAATCTCAATTGCGCGTGAGTGAGTAAATGAATATCAATTGTAATAAATATTGTTGCTTTGATTAAGTTTTAATCAGTAACTCAAGAGTTATAGTTTAATCAAAAAGTTTTAATAATTATGGATGAACAAGGTTTTATGTGTAGATTTTGTCAAATTAAATTTAATGATGTGGGTGAATTTATAAAACATTCATGTTGTGAAAATAATGAATACGATGACTTAGAGATTTATTTGGCCTTCTCACAGTTTTTGGATCCTCCATCAGCAACGTTATCGAATCCATTACAAAGTGAACAACAGCAACAACAACAACAACAACAACAACAACAAATTTTTAATGAATTAGAGACAATCAGTGAAGTTATCGGTAAATGTCCAAGTTGTGACCAATTTTGTGGAGATTTTTCAGCTCTTGCTGAACATAGGTGCGGTGAGGTTGAACAACAACAACAACAACAACAACTCTGCACGCTAACGTTGATGAATTTTCCCAAAATTTAATGGAAGTTGACAAACATGCTTGTGATAAATGTAACGAACTATTCTCATCATCTCAACAACTTTCTAACCACCTTAAGGTATGTGGTCTAACTTTAGCATGTCCAAAACCAACAGATGTACTTGAATTGTGTAACTTTAAACTGCTCAAACAAGCATTTCAAACAAAGTATCGTTTATACTCACGAAAGTTTGATAAATGTTACACGTTAGAAGACCTCCATGGGAGACTAAAGAAGATTTAAAGTCACTCATTTCATCATTATCAAGAGACTTGGGTCCTTTGAAAATTTCCTTTTCAATTAATATTGTATTTGAAAAACTTGGAGCAAGTGATTTTATCACTTCATACATACACTCAATTTTTAAAGTTTACCTTAGTTCGTCTGATGACTTAGATCAACTCATCTTGGATGGGTTTTCCGAGATTCAAAGTATCATAGACCATTACACGGAGAGAGGAGTGGATTCATCATTGTTTGCATTTCATCTTTAGATGTCTATGTTGCTTGGTATCAACCTCATCACGGTGGTTGTAGGTTACAAAAGTTACCTAAGCAATTATCGGCAAAGAGGTGTTTCATTACTCTAAACTGTAAGACAAGCTGCTTTATGTATTCTATTCTTTGCAGTATATATGGAAAAGTTGACAAACATCGTGTTAACAAGTACGATAAATATATTAAAGCTCACAACTTTTCGAAATGGACTGGTGATGTTACATTGGATCAAATCAATGGTTTTGAGAAAGTTAATGAAATTTCTGTCAGCGTTTTTTCATATAACCTGGAAGGTAAATACATTATTCCCCTTCGCATTGCTAAAGAGAAAAAAGAAAATCATGTTCAACTGTTGTTATATGCTGATCACTATTATCCAATCTCAAGCTTGAAGAGAGCCCTGAATAGTAGATCAAATAGAAGACGTTATCATTGTGAACGATGCTTACATGGCTATGACTCAGCTGTGAAACTTGATTTACATTTGAAAGATTGTGGAATTCGACCGGCACAGCGAGTTAAAATTCCTGTCTTGACAAGAGAAAATCCGTTGGCGGATCTTGTTAAACGTAATCTTAAAAAAGAGAGTAAACACCGTTTGTTATTTATGCTGATTTTGAAAGCATTTGCATTCCCACAGGTGATCAGAGAAAAGTTTCTAAACATGAACCCAGCAGTTACGGTTATATTGTGGTTGACTGGAATAAAAAAGTGATTAGACGTGACTTTAAGCATGGAAACAACATAATCAATGACTTTCTACATAGCATCAAACAGACTGAAAAATGGCTGAAAATTTATCTGAAGGAAAACGCTTGTAAGCCTCTTGAGATCACCGCTGATATTGAAGAAAGTTTTCTGCTCTCATGGGATTGTTGGATTTGTGGTGAACCAATGTACGGCGATAGAGTTCGAGATCACGATCATTTTACTGGTGAATATCGTGGTGCTGCTCACAGTTCATGCAACGTAAACTACTCTATTCCCAAGCGAATACCTATTTTCTTTCATAATCTGAAAAATTATGACAGCCATTTGATTATCGCTGGAATGGACAGTAGATCTTTTTCAACCGACTTTACAATTATTCCTCAATCGATGGAAAAGTATATCGGATGGTTTGTTGGTGATTTAGCCTTTCTCGACTCTTATGCTTTTCTACCTGCTAGTCTGGAAACATTAGCGAGAGATCTGAGCGTAGAAGAGAAGCAACACTTTCTACGCCAAGAGTTTGCAAATTGTGATCTTACTAATCTTCTTGACAAAGCTGCTTTACCCTATGAATATTTAGATTCGTTTGAAAAGTATAATGAGAAAAGATTACCAGGTATTGAATCATTTTATTCATCGTTAACAGACAAAGGTATTACAATTGAAATGCATGAGAGGTTAAATCGTGTTTGGAGTCAGTTCAACTGTAAAACATTGGGTGATCTGATCGATATTTATCTAAGGCTGGATGTGTACTTGTTAGCTGCAGTTTTTGAAAACTTTCGAGAAACAAGTTTGAACGACTTTGGTATTGATCCCCCGCATTATATGTCAGTCCCTGGTTTATCGTTTGCTTCAGCGATCAAGATGTTGAAAGTTTCCCTCAGAGTCTTTACTGATCTCGAAATGTACATGATGATTGAAAATGGAATAAGAGGTGGCTTTACTACAGTCGCAAAAAGGTATGCCAAAGCAAACAATCGTTTTCTACAATCATATGATGGTGGTGATGAATCTTGGCTTCTTTATTTAGACGTGAATAACTTGTATGGTAAAGCAATGTGTGACGTTTTACCATGCAGCGCCTATTTTTGGGTTAGAAATCGTGACTTGAATTTCTACCTTTCCGTTGAAGATAATGCTGAAATTGGTTATATTCTGGAAGTTGATCTTGACTATCCTGAAATATTACATGATAAACATAACGATTTTCCTCTCGCTCCTCATAAGATGACGATCGATGATTCAATGTTAAGTCCTACTGCTAAACAAATACTTGAACAACTAGGACAAAAGTCAACAAAAACGGAAAAACTAGTGGCCACTTTTTTACCCAGAGAACGGTACGTTATTCATTATCGTACATTAAAATATTATGTTGAAAATGGGTTGAAAGTGAAACAAATTCATCGAGTAATATCGTTCTATCAAAAGCGATGGTTATCACCATACATAGATTTTTGCACTAAAAGCGGAAAGAAGCTTCCTCCCCTTTTATCTCATCACTATACAAGTTATTTGTCAACAGCAATTATGGGAAGCTGATGGAAGATAAAAGGAAAAGAGTTAAAGTTGATCTGGTAACATCTGAAGTAATGGCTGCAAGAAGAACCAGGAAACAACTATGTAAAAACATGAGAATCCTGTCGGAAGATAAAGTGTTGTTTCAAATGCTGCCGGATAGTGTTTTACTTGACAAACCGATCATCGTCAGGTTCACTGTACTAGAGTTAGCAAAACTACATGTTTACACCCTTTACTATGACAGATTCAAATCATTTTATAATGATAATATCAAGCTGGTCTATTCTGATACGGATTCACTTTTGATTGAGATAAAAACAAATGACTTACCAAGTGATATGAAATATTTCTCAGATATAATGGACTTTAGTGACCTACCGGTTGATCACTACTTATATAGTGATGTTAATAAGAAAAAAATTGGTTGTCTCAAAGACGAGATGAGTGGTGAGGTGATTGATGAAGTTGTTGCACTTCGACCAAAACTTTATGCAATTAAAACTGAGAATAATGTCAAGAAGAGAGCGAAAGGTGTTCAAGGTGTGGTTGTCAAGAACCAGTTAACTTTTGATGATTATAAACAATCTCTTTTCAACGTTGAACTGGTGCGAAAAATGAATCGTCGCCTTGGTTCGGAAAATCACATCATCCATTTATATGAAAATGAAAAAATTGCTCTCTCACCTTTTGAAGATAAAAGGTATCTTATTGACTCTGTAAATTCTCTTGCTTATGGACACTATTCAATTAAACAATAAATTCAATGTTACCGCGAAATAAACGATTTCATTTATTTCGCGAGAGAAACGATTTCATTTAACTCGCGAGGCCGTTGGTTTCCTTCATCTCGCGAAACCTTACCGATCATAGATTTGCTTATTATCGCGAGATCGCCCCCCGGTCGGGCCTAAAATGAGTTTTTTTTTGCAATTTCTAACAGTCAGTTTTTATTTAATTAGCGTTAGGAGTTTTTTGTAAATCAAATATTCATTGTTTGAATGATTACAATGTTTGAGTAAATCGAAAAAAGATTTTTTGTTTGACATGAGGACAAATAGTAAACAATAATAACCACAGGCTGAGGAATCATCACCCTGGTATTTTGATTTAGATATTTCATAGAAAGAGGTGTTTTTCAGTATGAATGATAAAATTTCTGGTGGTGGTTGACGTCCAAAAGAGTCAAAGTAAATACCTTTACGGTTTTTACTTATATACACCGATACCCAATGTGACCCTGGTTGGTATGAAGGGTCTAAATTTATAATGTAATTTATTGGAAGTGATGATGAACTGACAATTGGCAGATTATCAATCGAGTAAACTCCTCCAAAAAACTTGTGGTCAGATAAAATCATTTCCAGGTCACTTGATGACAACATGATGTTTCTCTCAATAATCAATTACAACGTTTCTCTCTCTATCAACTGTTATTAGATTATCAAATTGTCCAAGAACAATAAGTTTAATTTGTTTTTTCAATGTTTTGGAAAATCTGATTTCACACCTTATAGACCCTCGTCGGAGTAAATTAAGAGTCCCCGTCTCACCACCTAATGTACCATCACTACTCAAGTCAAAAGCAAATAAACAGTACATTGACTTATACTTGTCATAATCAATATCACATTGTGGAATTCCATCGTCTTGACCAGTGTACCTGTATAAATTTACAAATTCTCTCATATAAAGGTTTCCTTCAAAATCGGGTTGATAAGGAACTGTTGGTACATGATTACCATCAACATTTAATGCTAAATGGGAAACTGAAAAGTTGTCGAAATTAAATGGATTTGCTTGTCTATCACCAGAAAATGCATCTTCATTGACAAAACCCAAAATTATACGTTTTGGTAAAAATCCATTGAATAAATTTTCTACCGTTATCATGTTTATATCTTTTGTTATAGTAAAGTTTTTCATTTCATTTCTTATGATAAAATACTTAGCTGGAACTTTGTTTAATGTGGTGATTAATCCGGCTTGTGCATCAGGGAAAAGTTTAACTCGTCTAATGAATAGTGATAGACTTGTTATTTTAGTTTTATACGTTTCTGTGTCAGCTTCAGTTGTTGCCCAAACTGGAAATGTTAATGGGCTCCTGGTTAATTTGAAAACCATCGGAATGCCGTTAACCATTAGTCGATCTTGTTGACAAATAGGTAAATGTAAACGGAAAAATAGGTCATAGGTTCGAGATGCAACTACAAATTGAGGTTCTTTCTTTGATAGGTTACCAGTGTCAACAGGGTTCGGGAATTTATACAAAAGATCTTCAAGAAAGGCTTGATAGTGATACATGTTTGATGCTTGACAAAGGTTTACACCATTGAGAAATAAATCTACTTGTTCAAATAGTGCATTTCCAAAATTTCGAGCCATCATTGCTTTAACTGCGTTTTTGGTTGGCTCATTTGTTGAATCGATCACTTGAACCTTAATGTGCAACATTGTCGCGGCCATATCCGTCATGTCTTCAGATGGAGGTACAGCGATCTCATAGACAAGGCTACTCTCTAAACTTGCTGATGGTCTGTACTCAGTTTCATAGCTTGATTCTATTGTTACCTGTGTTGACGGAACTGTGAATAAGGTTAATTCACTTTTCCCCGCTGGATTTGAATCAACGTGTAGATACTCCATTATCCAAATATATCCTTTTTCCTTCTGTTTTTAATTTTTCGACGTTTTTTAACTCGTTTTTTACCTTTTTTCCTGTGAACACTTGACACTGTTGAGCTTCTTTTTCTCCTCTTTCTACCTGAAACAGCTCTCATCATTTTCTTATATGCTTGAATTCCTACGTTACCCGAACCTTTTTGCTCTAATATTTTATTAACTTTAGCAATAGATTCAGATGTTGCATTTATCATACCTTCTTTTGCCCTTGCTTTTAAAGCATCTTTAAATCTTTTTTTCGCTAACATGTCAGCTCCAACATTAACACCTGTGCGGAGAAATTGTTTACCTAAAAATTTTAATATTGGTATTCCAAATCTACCAATTAAAGTTCCTATTCCATATCCTCTTTGGTATGGTGACCCTTTAAATACGCTAATATCACTAAACCCACTTCCTACCTGAGAAGAGAAAAATCTCTGTAAGTCTGACTCACAAGAACAATGAACTTTTCTTGACATTTTCAATAACTTTATTCTCATTTATTATCTGTTACATTGTTTTCTTATACAACTTTTTTCAAATGTAAGCCAATACAAACACGACCTGAGTTGAATTTAACCTGTTCTCCAGTCTCATCACTCAGGATGAAATTGACATCTTCCATTCTATTTGATCGCAATGGGTAGTAATGTGGCTTCATGAATCTCTCGTGGATTATCTGTTTCTTTTCATCTCCTCTCAGTGGCAAAACACGAAGTACCCTTGCTGATTTATCTCCAACGAAATGTTCAGAGACAATGTCAGAGTTTACAAACATCAAGTGAGGCTGAAAGTCTAAAGCAGCAGGTTTTTCAGCAGTCATGCTAACCTCATTTGTGGTTAGTAGTCGACCAATCTTATCAAGGTAACCATAAGCATCGAACCCAAGTGCAGAAATAAAAGCTGAATCGTTGAAGTGTGGGACAATCACTTTATTATGTAAATAGCCTCTATGAATAGTTATTTTCCCGCCAACTAGTTCAATAAAAGGTACTTTATCGTCCTCGCTGATAGTCAGTTCATTTTCCACCAAAGGTTTAAATTTATATAATTGTCGTCTAACTCTTTCAACCTCTTCAAGAAGTTGATTTTTTTCTTCTTTTTGTTTAGCCAAGTCACCATTCAACCTGATTACTTCATTAGCCAAAGAATCGTGCTTATCTTTCAACTCTTTTAGTGTCATCTCAACAGCACTTTTCTCTGAAGCAATCGATTCAACTTTCTGATTCAGATTGTTAAGCTCTTCTTTTGGAACTAGTTGAGCTATCTTATTCCGCAATTCAGCTTCATTTTCTTGCAGCTTAACTACCTTTTCACGTGATTCTTTCAAATATTGCTGATAATTTTTCTCCCTTTCTTCCATTAATTTAACTTTATCTTCATATGTTTTTGACTCTCTTTCCATTTGGTCTTTCAATTCGTGTAGCTCTTCTTCTTGTTGCTGTTTACAAATTTTCAGTTTTGATTCAAATTCCAAAGCCTTCTCAGATTTTGTTGACTTTGCATGCTCAAAGTCTTTCTCAATATTCTTAATCTTAATATCAGTTTCTTCTTTCATTGTGTTATATTTTCCTTGTAATTCGACCAAATTTTTATCACGTTCACCTTTCAGAATCTCTAGTTCTGCTCTCAGTTTGGAAGCTTCGGCTCTTTTAGCAATAGCGTCCTCTTCCCATCGTTTTAACCTTAGCAAGGCATCTCTCAAATCTTTCTTTAGATGATAAATCTCAGAATCTTTGTTAGGTTGTTGCTCAAGTTTGTTTATCTTTTCGGTTTGATCAGCCAACATTTTCTGAGCAACTTGTTTATATTTTTCAAAATCTTCTTGGACTACACTTTTTGCAGCTAAGTTTATATTCACAACTTCCACTTCTTTAGTTTTTTGTGCTACCTCGGTTGAAAGAGAGGCAATTTCTTTTTCTTTCTCTTTCACTTGACCGTTCATCTCATCAATTTTTTTCAATAGCTCTTCAAACGCTGCTAAACCTTTAGTTTTAATCTCTCGCAAATGAGCTAGTTTCTCCTCATTTGTAAAATTTGCGCTTTCGACTTTTAACAGTTTGTTAATTGTCTCCATGATATCTCTTTTAGGTCGTTTAGCCTTTGTAGTATTATAATGTTTTCTCATTGCTGTATTAATTTTATCAATAATAGTCCTCTTGTCATCATTTGCTTCCAACATTACATCTAGTTTGACCTTTTGTCCAAAGCCATCTACAAGCAAATGCACCGATAAACTTCGTGCTGTTGCACTTATGTCCGATGGATAGAAAATTTCTTGAAGACCTACCAACCACTCACCACTCAAATCAATGGGTCGAGCCAATCGATTAGAAAATTTTGTTAGAGTGTTGTGAGGGAAAATGTCCATCGAAGCATTTGAGACTGCTTCAATGAAATACTCCTGAGGTTGATTCCACATCTTGAACCCACTGATTAAATTTACTTGGATAGTCTTTCCACTTTACGAAGTACTCTTTCTTTTTTGTTTTTTGATTTATTCTCGTTTTTAATATCTTTTCGATCTGATATAAACTTGGCTCTATGGCTGGTACTAGTTCATTGTGGTAAAAAACTGAAGTTATTCTTTCACCAGCATAATCTTCCAACCAATAGACCCAACCTTGTGGTGTCCTCTTGTGTTTGCTAATAGTAAATATTTCCAGTTTAAAATTTCTTTTCGATCCTTTCTCGAAAATCCCTTTCTCTCTTCTTATCCGAACCTTTGAACCAACGGTAAATGGTTTATAATTTATTTTACTTTTGGGATGAGTTTTTCTTATATTTTTCAGTACCAATGAAGAGTTTTCATTGTTCACTTCTACTGGTGACATACCAATTGTCCGATGAAAAGATTCATTATATGACTGGATTATTTCGTCAAGTACATCGATGAATTTTCCAGTATTTGCATGGTGCAAGTAGCGATAAATCCGTGCTCTTATGGTTCCGTTGAATCTTTCAACAATAGCACATTTAATTGTTCCATCGGTAGCAAAAAAATGGTTGATTTTTTTCTGTCTCATTAATGTTTTGAAGTCTGAGTTTGCAAACTCTTTACCTTGATCACTTTGTAACTTTTCTGGTACTCTATTACTATCGGAAAAAATATCATCAAGAGCCTGAACGACTTCAATACCAGTCTTCTTTCTGATTGCGTGACCAGGCAAACCTACTGAAACAGTCAATTACATTAAGTAAATAACGGTAACCATCATTATATTGACTAACCCAAGACATGTCCATCAAATCAATCTGCCACTGCTCATCAATCTTATTAACCAAAATTGGTAGTCTAGGAATTTATTTTGTTTTGTTTGAAAAGCGTATATGTATCCTGCTTTCTCAACCATTTTTGGACATCAGCGAGTTTTACTGTAGGGTCTCTTCTTTTCAATGCTTTGTATAATCGGTCAACTCCACCAAATGATCCTATCGCTTTCGGTGAGTAATATTCTCTTTCGTAATGTTGGATGCTTTCAGCCATGATATGTTGACTTGTTTCAACTTTTCTTTTGCTTTAGGGTTGATTATAAGGTTCAAACACTCTCTGCAGTTTTCTTTTATGTACTTTAGTACTTCTGTTGTTCCATTTGGTGCTCTTCCGATATAGTTTTTTGTCTTTAGATATTCAACTACTCTCTCAATATCACTACCCTTTATTTTTCCCTCGTCATTAAATATCTTATTATCATCGTCAACTAAATCAGACTCTTTTTTCAATATTGACAATAAATCATTATCAACCACCCGTGTGGTCTGTGGTGTTGACGATTCTCGTCTATGAAATGCTCGCTGAGAAATCGTTGGTGTTTCATTGACTTCCTTATTGTACGTGTTATCCAAAACTGTATGAAAAGAATCTTCAGAGTCTTCGTCAGATTTGACAAAATCATCTCCATTGTTCTCCCCTTCAACTCCCTTTTTCAGATCTTGGTACATTCGATATCGCGCTGTTAATTCATTCCTAAGACGGTTCTCATCCCTTTCTTTCACCTTTTCTTTTTTGATATCATCTTTCATCATCATTTGGTTAATCAGTTTCATTTTTATACTTGTAGGTAAATCCGAGCTCATAATCGGATCGAAGTCTATTTGTCTCTTTTTAACATTGTTTTTATATTGATCTTCAGGTATCAACACCATTCGACTTGTTGAATTCATTCTGCAATTTGTTTTGTAAGTAAATTGGCGAGAATAGTTATAGCTGGAACAAGTAAACCTTTTAGTAAACCACCTTTTTGAATTAAAATTTTTTTAGCTTTTTGACGTGTTATCTTCCCACCAAGACTTCGAATCTCTTTTTAAATTTTTTACACGAGCTTTTTGTTTAGTTGTTAAATGTATATGACCTTTCAATATTTTACGAGCTATTTCTTTTATAACTTGCATCACATTACATGGACATGTTATCATCAATTTTCTCCGTTCATTCAACTTTCTAGCCTGACTCAACTTTTTTAAAGCTGGTAAAACGGTAATTGCTTTTGAAACAGACATTTTTTAGAATCAACTTTATTTAATTTTTCTTATACAATTTAGATTTGATAGGCATAAATTACTTCTTTTTCTCCCAATACATCTGTTAGTAATCTAACTTCATCTGGTGTATCTGGTTTACAGTCAATAAACAGGTATGAGAAAGGACTTCGTGTTGCATGTTCAAATATTTGTCTAAATTGTGATGAACGTCCTGGAAACATTTGCTTGGCTAACATTGTTGATATTGACTTATCTCTTGGGTTTTTGAAAAGAACAATATAATGAGAGTTTAGAGAAATATTTCTTGCCTCACCACCTTTTATAAAAAAGTTTTGTACCAGTAAAATAACAGAAAGATTCCTATGATGACTTCCTTTTGTAAACAGTTGTGATACGATTTTTGAATTAGACGATTCATGCATCAAATCATCAATTATTATTAAATGAGCTTTCTTACCGTCAATTTTATCAAGAAAATTTTCAGGTAAGCCCTTTATAAACTTAACACTTTCCATTTCGTTGAAAATTGGTTGATATTCTGCATAAAAATAGGTTATCAGTGTTGGTACTGGACTGATTACTTTCTCTCTGTTTTCAATTAGTTTTTTTACCCAAAATGATTTCCCACACCCACTTGGTCCAGAAACCATCATAGTAAATGGATGTCTCAAGTAAATTGAATACATTTTTCACTCATTTTTTTCTCTCCGCAATTTACTTGTCTTATATAATTCAAATTTTCTTGAAACAATTTTCACACAAATTTATTATCTACCAAAATCTTAATTTCAAGGTAAATGCTTTAAACAGAAGAGCTTCATTATAAAGTATGTGCATTAGAAGCGTACGGTGCATTTAAAAACATACGGTGCATTAGAGGCGTACGGTGCATTTAAAAAATTAGGCTGCATTAGAGGCGTACGGTTCCCTACTACTATCATGAAAAATGAAACAAAATATGCAGATGAAAATGAGCATCAACATGATTAGGGAAAGTTCAGACTAATATACTTGATGGTTTCATCCTTAATAATGTATAAGAGGTAATTATTAATTCAATTGTCTGATAATTTGTTGCAGGGAGAAACAAAAGAATTAAATTAACAATAAAAAAGAGCTTGAAAATGATTCTTTTCATGGAGAAGATAAAAAAAAGATCCTGATGTAAATGTGTATAAGAAGAAGATGGAAAGATATTAATTCTGTTTGAGAATTAGTAATAATGTGTAACAATCATTTACATTAAACACATTTAATATTAATACTTTCATATGATGATGATGATGAGTGAGAAGATGAAGATGTTAACTTAAGTGATGAAGATTCTGATGGAAAGTGTAAGAAAAATGGATTAATTTAGTTATGTAACTGTTATTATATCTCATGAGTCTGCAAGTGAAAATGTGATTTATTAAGTTTGGCTAATGAGGAAATAATTTTCAACACATGATGTTTTTTCATGATGATAGAATCATGAGAACCTTTAATAACCATATAATCAGTTTTGATATTGAATTTAGGAGGAGGAAAAACAAAAAAAGATTTCAAAAGTTTCAAATAACCTCAGAGTGAAACGATAAACTTAAAACTCTCATCAATAAAGTCATATTTATTTTCTTGAACAAATTATCAGAATTATTAATACTTCCAATTTTGGTTTCTCTTTCTCTCCATCTCTCATTCCAAATGAATTGTTTCTCAAGGTTCTTTTCATTCACAAGGCAAAGTAACATATTAAACTCATTGAACGTTTTATTGTACATTAGTACATTTTCGTTGTTTTTCTTCAAATACTTTACTAACTTTCACTTTCTCCTCTTGATTTTCATTCTTGTCTTTCTTCATCCTCCATCCAATTTCTCATCATCTTAAATAATTTTCCCTTCATCACTTTTATTCTCAATTGTTGAAATTATTTATCACAAATTTTGCTTCCTCGTTCAACCAAAAATTGTTCAACTTGAAATGAGGGAATATGAGAAAAAGTTCTATATTTATATTATCATTATATTTTTCTTCTTGAAATTGAGATAAATAAGTGATAGTAGTGGGAATCATTAATTATATTGTAGAAAAAGTGAGAAAATAATACTCTTTCTCATTTTATCTTACACCCATCAGATTCTGTCTGATGATTCTGATTAGATCGGTTTGATTCCGTGTGAACAATATTTCGTAACAATGTTTCCGGAATGATGGGCTTGAATATCGGGAAAATGGGCAAGTAAATGAATTTGGTTGGATTAATGAAAGAAAAATGTCAAGTTTTACTCAAAAATACATGAAAAAAGTTACCATAAAAAATGCTTCGGATGATGTTAAGCTATGAACGGAAACAGGAAATGAAATGTATTCCAGATTAAAATCTTAATCAACAAATTAAAACTCAGTTAATTGGCATCGGAGTGTAGTAGATTTGTAACTTAATGTCTAATTGTGATCACCAAGCTTATTTCAAGTAATTTTTTCATAATTATTTTCATCATCATGTCATTTTTGTTTTCTTCTTTTCTGCTACAACTTCCTTTCTTAATATCATCTTCATCATCTCCCATTTTAATACATCTTCATTCTCATCGTTTGTGCATAAATATTAATATAAAGAAAACTATCTCTCCATTTTGAAAGTTGTGATGATAAATCAGACAATCTTTCACTTTATACATATATGGTGGAATCAACATCATTCTGTTCATCTACATGCAAGAATATTTTGTATTTCAGTATCATGGGAGAAGAAGATTGAAATAAGATGAAGATGAGAAAATCTATTTGAAATGTATTTGATTTGCTTAAATGACTATATTCAAATTGATTCGGTTCAGGTAATTGAGAGAAAATTTCAACCATGAGAATATTTGAATAATTTTTAATAAGAATAAATCGACAGAAAATATTTGAATAGAAACGATATAAAGTTCCAGTTATAAATATTTTCTG